GTAAACTTCTGGATACAGAGGAGCCCCCAACCCACAGCCACTCCATCTTACCAGGGTTCAGTTGAAGCCTGTTGTTCTCCATCCAGACCCCCACAGCCTCCAGGCACCGCAAAAGGGTAGGAACAGCATCACTCAGATCACCTGGGATGGAGATGTATAAATAGGTATCATCTGCATATTGATGATACCTCATCCCATGGTGGCAGATGATCTCGCCCAGTGGTTTCATGTAGTAAAAGTGTATTCTAAATTTAGAATATATGGAGATGTATAAATAGGTATCATCTGCATATTGATGATACCTCATCCCATGGTGGCAGATGATCTCGCCCAGTGGTTTCATGTAGTAAAAGTGTGTAGTGTTCAATGTGTAAAAAGGAGCGGGGAATGTACTGAATCCTGCAGCACCCCACAAAGCAGGGGCCATGGGCTGGACCTCTCGCTCCCTGTCAACACCTATTTGGACTGGCCTTGGAGGATGGAGGTGAACCAGCACAAAACTGTGCCACCCACCCCCAACTCCCCAAGCTGACCCAAAAGGATACCATGGTTGATGGTATCAAAAGCTGCTGAGAGGTCAAGAAGAGCAAGGATGGATGCACTATTCCCATCTTGCTCCCTCCAGAGATCATCCAAAAGTGTGACCAATGCTGTTTCAGTCCCAAATCTGGGTCTGAAACCCGACTGAAGAAGGTCCAGATAATCTGTTTCATCCAGGATCCTCTGGAGCTACAATGCCACCACCTTCTCAACCACCTTCCCTAAAAACCATCCCTAAAAAGGGAAGGTGGGAAACTGGACGAAAATTGTCCAGTATGGTGGGATCCAGTGATGGTTTCTTGAGGAGGGGGTGTACCATTGCCTCTTTAAAGGCCGCTGGAAACACTCCCTCTTTCAAGGATGAATTCACCATCACCCGGACCCACCCACATGTCACCTCCTGAGCTGCCTTAACCAGCCAGGAGGGGCATGGATTTAATTGACAGGTGGTGGCATTTATTGCCCGGAGGACCATGTCCACTTCCTCAGGTCCGACAGGATCAAACTGTTTCCAGATAACAGGGTACGTACGTACCCCAGGCATCTCCACAGGCCATGCCACATGCTTGGCATCCAACTGGGAACATATCCAAGTGATTTTATCCACCAGATGCCCAGAAATCTCCTCTGTGCAGCCCTGTAGGTGGGTCACTGGGCCCACCTTTCCCAGAAGAGATCAAGTGATCTTAAACAGGGCTGCTGGGCAGCATTCTGCAGATGCAATAAGAGCGGAGAAATGTTGGCATTTTGCCGCTCTTACTGCCACAAGGTAGGCCTTAATAGCAGCTCTAGCCTGCGTTTGGTCGGATTCGGTCCTTGTTTTCCTCCAGCGGTGCTCTAGATATCTCTTAATCCTTTTCAGAACCCTCAACTCCTCTGTAAACCACAGGGAGTATCGGGCTCGATGGGTCAAGAGAGGTCGCATGGGCGCAATCTTATCCAAGGCCTTGGTCACCTTCCTATTCCAGGTGATGGGGGCCTTGGACAAGATTTTAAAACATATTAAAACACTAAATCCTGAAATACCAGCAAGTCCTTCTCGTAGGACAGTTGACTCTGTAGAGAAGGGGGCAGTCTAAGGGGACAATCTAGTTTCTGCGTTGATTTCTCTTCTTTTTCCCATTGGGCAGTTGCTGTTATTTGTCTTGTATGGGGAATGTAGGCAATATATTTCACTGAGGTGGAAATTTTGCTGTGGGAAATGGGTAGTAGCTCTTAGTATGGAAATGTCCTAATTCCTAAAAAATAGTTAATCTGCACAAATATGGAATTGTGCGCAGTTGACTTTTATATGCTAATGTTAGGGAGATATCTAGGGTGAAAAGCATCTCCAACTGCCACAATAATCCACAAAATTGTATGTATGTTTGAGCTATGAGCTTTCAGTCAAATGTAAGTGTCTTTCTCTGATCCAGCAGCACCAAAAGGTGAAGGCACATTTCATGGTGATTTCTTTAACTGGTATCCTCCATAGATATTGGACTTAGAGTCCCATAATTTATCATCCCACAAGGCCTTGGATTGTGATGCTTGATGAGTCAAAGGAATCAAAGTCCAATACACTGAAATTGGGGGAAGCTATTCTAAATTTAGAATATTTCATTCTACATGCTGGGTTTGAATAATAGAGTAGGTAGAGCTCTGTTCTCTGTAGATCAGTGGATAGTGACAGCATGTTTATTTGGGTGAACAGCTTTATGGGGAAGCTGAAGGGCTTTTTAGAAGGTCCCTAGTGCCAGATGTAAGTCTCTCTCCACTTGAAATCTATGGGACTTCATTGATTTCTTTTTCTTGTCCAAAAAAAAGTAATGTTATAGTATATGGATGACTAAAAGTTTTTCTTTGAGTAAGGAAGTCTTTCTGATTGCTTCATTAGCAATTAAAGAAGATAGTGGATGATCTGCAAGCAAAATTGGCTTTGGCAAAGGGTGAATACAAAACAGCCTTGAGGAACTTGGAGATGATCTCTGACGAGATCCATGAGAGGCGGCGAGCTTCCTCAATGGGACCCAGAGGATGCGGTGTTGGTGCTGAAGGCAACAGTACTTCAGTAGAAGACCTTTTGGGATGCAAGTTGGAGTCAGATAATATTTCCAGTAAGTAGTAGAAAAAGTATACAGCTTTGACCATGTCAATTTTGTCCATAGGTTGTATCAACAACTAAGAGCTGGTCAGAAAGATACCTGATGTGAAGGAGCCAAGTATATGAAACTGGCTAAAATTATAATTAATATAGTGTCACAATATTTTCCAGTTTGCCAAGCATTTTTCCCCATTACCATGGTACTTTAGAATTTCTTTTGGTGGCGTGGTTGAAGTTGATCATTGTGAGAGGGTGCTGCTTTCACTTTTTCTGTTATACAACTCTCTGTTGTTTCCCATGCTTTGACTCTGATGAAAGTCCCTTGGGAGGAGTTTCATGTTGCTTTTCTCGGGTTTAGTAGAATGGGATAAACCAGGAAGGCTGGAAATCCCTGGAGAGATGATTGTACAGTGAAAGACAGGACAAGCAGCATCCTCAGTTATTTTGTAATGACAGTAAAATTTTGCCAAATCTGTTTTTTCCTTTGATTTTTCTTAAAGCCGTTTCTTAAAACAAAACTAAAAATGGTTTAAAACCTGCATTAAAAATATTTAGCACAGATATCTATCTATCTTACAGTATCTATCTATCTATCTACCTACCTACCTACCCACCCACCTATTAAAAAATATAAGAACCAGTTTGGGGTAGTGATTAAGGCATCAGACTAGAAATTGGGACACCATGAGTTCTCCCTCTCAGTAAAACAGGTGTCTTGATCTGGCTGTGGACACTGGACATAGCTAATATTTTGAAAATGGATGAAGTGCAGGCTTTTTGTATTCATCATTCCCTAGCTGAGGCTTCCCTTTGGAAAATGACATGACTTAAACATGAGCGTAGACATAAACTGACTGTTATTTTTATGATAGCTCAGTTTTCTTAATGGCTGGCCCTTAGTGATTGGTTGAGGAGGGGAATGACAAACCATCTTTATATTATTACCAAGAAAACTACATGGACATGTTCATGAAGTCACCAAGAACAGAGCTTATATCAAAGTAGACTTTGCTTTTTTCTTTTTGGCAAGAAGAGATAGTACTATTAATATATTGTTGAGAATCAGTATTAATGTACTAGTTGGGAACAGTGATTTTGGATGGAGGAACAAAAATCCCAAACAGGGGAACATAGTGTTGATTTGTTGATTTTGTTTTGTTTTGATCCAAGTTAGAGAGGGAGAATTGTATTTGCTCAGTGGGTTGTGATTGAGGTAGCCTATAAGCTTGTTAGTTACTTAGTTAATGCTAATAAAAATTTTCTGAACATTTTTACAGTGGCATCAGAAGTGTTTGAGGATGACAACTGCAGCAGCTTTGTGTCTGAAGAAGACTCTGAAACCCAGTCTCTGTCTAGTTTCAGTTCTGGTCCAACAAGCCCTTTTGATATACCAGCTCAGTTTCTTCCAGTGACTCGACCTAGAAGCCTGGATTTGTCTAGCCCTATATCGCTATCTGAATTTGGGGTATTTCCTCTATTAGGACCTCGCAGTGAATGCAGTGGGGCATCCTCTCCTGAATGCGAAATTGAAAGGGGTAAGTAGGATTGATGAAGGCAAAGATCAATACCACATAGAGATAAGAGAATGGGTAAGCAACACAGATATGAGTTATGTTACTTTGGGAATAGTATATGCTGTGTTGTTGCCATATTTCAAAAAGATATTGTAGATGTAAAGAAAGCATAGAAAAGGGAACAAAATGATCAGGGACATTATGAAGAAAGGTGATAACTTTCTCTGCATTTTGTATGCAACTTCCCAGCCAGATTTGCACTAAAAAGTATAAAGCCTTGTGGTAAAATCGTATGGTTTTGATGGACATTAGAATGGAATGCAGTGGAATCAAGATTGGTAGGACATATAGTTTACTCCAAATTTCCCAAGTTTAGTGATTGGTGAAATACCTTTTTGGATTGGATTTAGAGGTAGTCATACTTTGTAAGCTAAGTCTGAATCCAACCCAAGTTGTGATTATATTATGGAAGTTTACCCTTGTTTCATAGTCCAAAGCTACAAAACTTTTCCATCTCATCTTTACAGGTGACAGGGCAGAAGGAGCTGAGAACAAGATACTTGACAAAGTGAATAAAAACCGGAGTGTTGGCAGCAGCTCTTCTTCCAGTGGCCCAGTGCTGGACAATAGGTTGAAGCAACTGTCCCTACAATGCCTGAAAGTCAAAGATGGGATTTGTGCAGACAAACAAATCGTACAAATTGGGTGAAGTAATGCCCGGGGGCTACTGAGAAATCTAATTTATTTATACACAAATGTTTTCTGACTGTCAGAACCTTGTGCCAATAACTAATACATGCCAAAACTTTAAGCGTTTACTGCACCAAGAGTTACATCATTGCTGAGGGCTGAAGTATGTGTGTGCATTAAACATAAAACAAATCTTGGTCAGGACAGAAATTTGTCACAAACGTCAGCTGTCCTTGCAACCCTTGTCAAGACATTTTGTACCAGTTTGGCAGAAGCAATAACTAGCACCACTTCTCTGTGAAGTTCAGTGCCACTGAGGCACTCAGGGCAAATCCAAGTCTGGGAGGATTGGCTGGTGTCTGTTTGTGAATTGAGCTGCTGTTTAATGCCATAAAATTCCGAGACGCCAGTGGCATATCCTTTGAAATACCTTGTATTATATTTTTGGTTACAAAAGGAAGCTGCTGCATGTAACAGAACTTAAGATACCTTCAGTCTTCCTACAGAATTCATGAGTGTTGATACATTATACCTCAAAGGTAATTTAAATGTTAATATTGATGCACAGGATCCTTTTAGCTTTTTACATGGGTGGGGAGGGTGGCGGTGGGAGGTAGTTTTGGTTTATATGTACTATGATCAAAATGAAATGGACAGTGGAATCATTCATGTAGGATGCCACTTTGTTGTGAAGTACCAATCATGATAATCACTAAGCATGGACCTGAAGATTCCCCCTCCTCCCCCAAGTATAAAAGAGAAATGTGCATGAATGGAATAGTTGCCATAGGATTGAAGTGGGGAGTACTTTCTAGTATCTCTACATTATTAAGTATAGCATTTTTAGAGTAGTGAAAGAGAGTTAGAAGTTAGTATCCATTAAGTAAAAAGCTAAGTAAGGTGGAAAGGAAGCTGAAGCATGTTAGCAACAGCTAGTACTGAATTGGTATTTATGATAATAAGAAATAGTTAAAAGCATAGAGTTGCTTTACTAGTTAGCATTTCTAAAATTGGCATAGGCCATATTTAATGAACGTATTTTTGAGCATTACTGTTAGCAATATCCCTCTTCCCTACATTTTTTGTTACTTGGCTTAATTTTGTTGTATTTTGTCCCTGTTATGTTGCGTGTATATCTATTCTGAAAACAAATGTAAAAATTATTTCACACTACAATGTCTCCTCTGCCCTTTTTGTTTTCACGCGTGATATGGTTATCTTTAAACATTATTTTTAAATCTTTACAAATTCATTCTCCAAATATACATAAGCCTTCCATATGTGTTTAGGTTATGCTACAACTGAGGATCTTTGCAAGGGTCAACTGGAATGGTAATTAATAAAGTAAGAAGTGTTAGTGGTGAGTTTGTATCTGTATGTAGGTACTTATGTAATAATATCCAAAGTTTGGGGAATGCCTTTATAGAAATGATGAGTTAGATCAGTGTTTCTCAACCTTGACAGCTTTAAGATGTGTGGACTTCAACTCCCAGAATTCCACA